GAATAAAAGCAGGATCGTGCACGAATTTCTAAAATAATTTCAAGATTGACATGATTTGTGTTATTCATCTAACGGAATCCATATATGACACCATATTTTATAATTAGCAGCAAACATGCTGATCATATCAGCACATACTGACCTCATTTTTAAATCATTTCTCATTGTTTTGTGAATAGTGAAAAGAATATTCACCGTACAAAAGAGTGGTGATTGAATGCTAAACTAGATAATGAAAATAACATGTGATTGGCAGTGTTTAATTGAATTTCTGGTATGGAAGTAGGGATTTAGTGGAATGTAAAAGAACAACCTAATGAGAAGTTGGTTTTAGAAACCATCAATAAATAATAGTCAGTCATCATATTTGTTATTACTTGGTGATTAATCAATGTATGCGTACAGTGCACAGTGTATCAATAATGTTCATTTTGACAATCATTAAAGTGAAATGTTTTCAAGGTTAAATTCCAGTGGATTTAAACTACTGAAGTCACTCATCAAGTTAATGAATAAACTGATGAGAATTTAACAAAGAAAATTTTCTTTCCAACGAAGCTGGTTACTCAATTTTTACGATCGTATTTTAAAGTTTTGGTATAGTCATTGTCTGTTTTCTAAGTGACAAACATTTTGAAATACTTAATGATGATTAGAATGCATAGAAACTCATGGCTCATTATGTTTTCATAAAGCATAGCTATTAAACGCTGAAAATGTTAATTACATATTGAAAACAAAGTAGTTGTCATTTGCTGTGCATACATCATTTTAGTATGTGATAATAGGTTTCATAAGTACTTTAATCAACATGAAATCTCTTACAGATTTTTAAAATGTTGAAAAGTATACGTAATGTTTTGAGAGTGACCAATGCTTATTTGGGACTCATCAGCTAGATGTACCTGCATCTCAGAGTTGATGTTCACTCTGGGATTCGAACCCAGTAACGTCCGCCTCAAACGTCATCACGTCCTGGATTCGACTGCTAGCCACTACTTGTCCTTGCATATAATGCTTTTGAATTAAGGAAGTATTGAGCCAACATGCACATGATACACATATGGTAATAAAAGACTGATCAATTGAAGTCCTAAACATCAATATGAAGTTTCAAACAAACAATATCCAATGGATTTAATAATAATTATTGTTATTAGTACAAATTTTTTTAGAAGTAAAAATAGTAAATTGCTGATACAATTAATCATTCATTAAAGCTCTATAAGAAAAACTCATTGAAGTCGTATATATTGCATTTATTTTTCTAATAGCCACAAACGAAATGAGGTCGAATGCAAGTTTTAACAATTCCGCGAATGTGTTATGAAAATTTGAACTCACAATGGTTACATAATTATACTAACTAAATATACTGCTAGCAGTGTCTTTAGTTTAGATTAAACGTTTACTTAGAATAACATTATAGTAGCAATAATGAATGTTGGGGTTTCGTGGTGTAAAATGCTATGATATAAAGTTTGAATAAATTATATGATGTGAAATGTCAACTGACTACTAGCAAAGGAGATTAAGTAGGCTATTTACATAAATATAAAGCTGGACAAAGAAATGGGCTAAAGATTAACCGTAAAACGTTCTTTAATTAGATTAGAGAAATTTGACCAAAATGAAATGATAAGTAATCTGAACATGCAAGGTTGGTTATTAAAGAAAAATCACAGTAAGAAATTTTAAAGACCAATCGGTAACTAGAAGCAAATAATGGATTTAATTAAAGGTAAATGTATTGTCTAACTGAATTCCATAACATTTCTCCAGAAGTTTGCTGAAAACGACGTTTTAAAGTGTTTAAATTTGTTGACTTCATCATCACTTTCAACATAACGATATGTTTAGCATTCTGATTAAAAAGTTTCCTGATGCTATTAACAGTAGTATCCTACTTAACAAGTTTGCAGTTCTAAATATTATTTTATTTATGTTCAAATTTCCGCGCAATTCCGTGGATTAGTTGAGGTTAGACATTAACGCCGTTAGATGCCGGCTCAATGGTCTAGAGTTTAAGTGTTCTCATGAGAGACCGAAGGCCCTGAGTTCGAGTCCCACGAGCAGGATCGTGGATGCTCACTGCTTAGGAGTCCCACAGCAGGACGAAACAGCCGTCCATTGCTTCCAGGTGTTCAGTGGTGGTCTAACATTAATCGGTTCATGATTTCAATTAAAAAGTTCAAATTTTCCCTTAAATAAAATATTTTGTTCCTTGTATTGTGAAATAGGCAGATAATTTTAATCTCTGAACCTGGTATACACTAATAAGCCATTCTTGTCACTTATTTTCTCCGCACTCCCATAAACAACTCATCTTTCAGATAACAGATACTTCTGTTAAGTTTGTAAATGATATTTCTATGTATATCCCAGTAATTTTTTCCTACATGGTTATGAAATGTTTGAATTCTCATCTAGTCTGATTGTCAAACTGATACATTTGACCTTGATAATATAAATAATTCATCTTATGCATTAGTAACGGCTTTTCAATACAAAATATACCGTGTTATCCCTCATGGTGAATTATTTTTAATTGTAATTTCTATTCGTTTCATCATGTTATCATAAAGTAAAAAGATTTTCTTAGTTGCTCAGTGAAGGTAGATCAGCAAGTTTCTCATTTATAAATTACCAAGTGCAAATTTGCAAAACGTTTTTCCCCAAGCATCTGGAGTAAATTTATCTTGATGGTATTCAGTGGAATGAAACAAAAACGTGCTCTTCGGATAAGAAACATTTGTTGATATCTAAAATGGACTATCTCACTTCTACTTTTGTTAATCAACATAGTTTTTTATCATTCAAAAGCTGATGATCGTCGGAAGTAAACTTTCTTGTCATAGTGCTCAATATTATTCATGTCATTTGTTCACGGTACACAGTGAATTAAATTTATTTCTGTGTTGTAGAAAGTCTGACCTCCTAATTTAGGTCATTAGTTTGAACTGTTCTCTATTCTTTAAGTAATAATGTAACTTAGTATATTTTGTTCGACACTCCATTCAATCAGTTACAGTATCGGTTACACACAGTTTTCAAAAGAATTTATTATTGTTTAACCAAGTTAGAGAGATAAAAATACCAAGACGGCCGATCTTATTATTAAACTATTCATTTGAAATCTTCACTAATCAGTTTATATATCCGGAAATACTGTTCAGTGGTATGCATTGAATGGCCGTTAAGATTTAAGATGGATTCAAGAAAAATAGTTAATGTTCTACTTCATCAAAGTAATCCAAAGTGTAACAGAGAGCTGCTTGAATGTAGTGAGAAATATGAACATTTCAGAGAGTAAACATAATGGTTTTTAAGCTAGTATTCCAAACGAGGGATCAGTGCTATAAAATTAGTGATAATAGACTACTAATTTTCTATATTGTGATCATAAATATTACTTAGTACAAGGATTTAGAAAAGATAATTTATAAAAGACACTTTAATTTCTAATTAATTTGTGCTATGAATTTAATAATTCCTATATAAATAAACTCGTTATTCATTTTTTACTTTCCTTATTGTGAGTATTAGCTACATTAGCTGTGTAAATAAATACTACTGTAAATAATAGACAGAGGAAGAAATAACACCAATACTGATATGTTCTGTTGTTTGCGCCATGATGCTTGTTGTGTCTTCTTAATTGCTATCATTTGAGAAAATAGACACATTAATACATCATTGTGTCTTACAAATTAAACAGTATTTTCCTGGTATCGACCATTTGTCTTTGAGTACATTAACTTTAGAATTCATCACTTTCGTCCAGTCAAACGTTGATGTTTGAAAAAATTATATATCGTACATGTTGGGGTTCAGAACAATGATGATAGAATGAGAGCAGATGTAACAGATCGATTTTTAATGTATTCGATACTTTAACGAAGTATTTATCTGTCACTAAGCCAGTAATTGCTAATATGATTATTGGTTTTACCCCAGAGTTTTTAGGAAAACGACTTTGTTTGATGAACTTTCTGAAGCATGTCATTTGTCAAAAAATTGATATTCGTGCTTCATTACACTGTATTTCCTACCTGATTACTTTTGTCAGATCATAAAAGTATTTTGGATCAATTTCAAGATGAAATAACGCTCATTAACATCACTTAGTTCTCTATATTTTCATGATATATGTTAGATGTAACACAGTATGACAAGTCAATTATCGAAGCCAAATACTGAGGTCCCTTGCTGAAATATATTAACGTGGTTTGAGATTTGACATTACCTCAAACAGAAACATTGAATCTCACTCATTTCATAAATTAATTAATGAAAAATGATTTTTAACTTTAATTGTGATACTAATCAATGATGGTCAATCATAAAGTTCAGATTTTGACCGACAATGACAAAATTAGTAATAAGGTAAACACGGGTTTTAACAAAGACATATCTTTTGAGGCATGAATAATTAATTCTCATAGTTTACACCATGAACACATCCTATTCCGGCAACGATTGAAGATTAGCTAGGACTAGACGGCCATTTAGTCCTAATATGGAGATCCTCATCATATCCGTGAGCATACTTGAGATCCAACCTTCAAGTATCGACAACCTATTAACCACTGAGCCTCTATACATTGTTTTACAGGATTGTGCAGTATCGCGAATTGATTTAAGTTAAACATATACACCACAGGATGCTGGCCAAACGGTCCACAGGTTAAGTACTCTCTGAGAGTTCAAAAGGTCCCAAGTTTTATCCAAGGCAAAGACGTCGATACGCCCTATCGAGGAGTTTCGTAATAAGGCGAAACAGCTAGCTAGTTTTTATCAATTTTCAATAGTTATCTTACTAGGTTCAGTCGATGATGTTGGCTTAAAAGTCGATAATCTTCACAAGTGCTCTATAGTAATTAACAATTATTTTTTTGATTAAATCATTTATATTTTTTGAATATATGGTATTTAGTGTAGAAAATAAAATCTGCTTCTGTTTTTTATGTAAAATTAATCATCAATTTGAATAATTGTAATTAATCTAATTGTCGTTCAAGACAAGGAACAATTGCAATTAAAAATGTTAGGAAAGTAATTGCACTTCCAGCTAATAAACATGTTGATGGATGAGGTATTTTTCTGGTTTCATAAAACTGAGAATTAATATTAGCCAATGTTGCTGCAGTCATTGCTAAAATAACTGAAATAAATACGAACAAAGAATGAACAGAAAAAATTAGTACTGACAGATATGTATTTTTAGTGTAAGGTTTTAAGGAGATTATAGAATTTGTATAGACTTTATATCACACGACTCAATGGTCTAGAGGTCAGCGTTGATGAGAGAAACTAAGGGTCTTAGATTTGATTCCTTGATGTGGATAGTGGAGAAACACGTCTAAAGAGCCCCATGATCGGATGAAATGTCCACCCAGTGCCTCCAGGTTTTCAATAGTGATCTAACTAAGATCAGTTCATAACCTGAGATCTATAAATTATGCATTTCACTAAATATATCTTTAACATAAGAAATAGAGTGGAATAGGATTTTTCTAATATTTCATTTTATTCTATTCATATCACTGAATAATTAAGATTATGTCTGGAACTTTTATTGCTAAATATTATTGGTTAGAGAATGGATAACTATCAAGAGTCAACCGTTTGACATCTAACCCTAGTCTAAGATGATAAGATGCATACAATATAAATCAATTTCGTGGTTCGCAACAACTTCTTAGGATAGTGTAATGCTTATTGTTCAACGATGCGTCTTTCTCCTCTAATTCACATTACGTAAGCATTTTTATATTTAATAAAATACTTTATTGGTATCAAAATATGTTAACTTGTTGGTTTTCTTTCCAATAAAATTTTCAAATCGCATAAATCAAATTCATGCTTTTTGTGTTAGGTTTGATACAATATATTTCTCAAGTAAGTGAGCTGAAATGTGAACCTGGACAAAGTATAAGGTTTTATTAGCTAGAAAACCATGACAAAAGTCAGCGAGATAGTCGCGCACGCGATCAATATGATTACCTCTGTACCAACCCAAATTATTTATCGTTTTTTATGGCAAGATAAAAACTTACACTATTCAAATTATTATTACATTTGTAATTACGGTGACACAATTCATAGTATCGGTATATTCATTGGAATTAATTATACTGTTATTCCATGAACGAGATTACCATTGGCAGATACTGACTATCTGTGTATAATCTCTGAGAATCGGTAAAATGAAAGTACTTTAGATAAAAATTATAGAGTCTGTGAGCTATAATGGTTTGATCAGAAAAATGTAATTTACAAAGTGTCTTTTACTTAAGGAATTTAACCTTAAAACGAAGATCTAGCACAAAAACGAAGTGAAATATTAACAGAGAATACAACCAACAAGTCGAGGTGACTGCAGTAAATCTGTTCATTAATTACTGAACAAAGAAGCTGTTACACGTAAAATTTGTCTTGTTATATCTTCATCACCAATGGACCTATTTTAATGTCGACTAATATACAATCAGAATTACAATGTCAAATTTCATTTTCCTCAAATTGCGACCAATAAACTTTTGCGTTTCAATCACCTTCACATCACAAGTTAGGATGCTTTCTAAATTCATAGAACTATGTAAATATCCTGGTTTAACAATTCGTATTCATGATGTTAGATGGCTGGACAAATTCAAATCACTATGATCAGGAATCATGATGATAATTTATATTCAGAAATTTACAACAGAATACGGACCAGTTTACGAGCGTTACCAGATTAATAGAAATTGTTGGATAATACTTAGTTTACGTCATCTGGATAAATAGGAATCTCGGGTAATTTCTCCTAGGATAAATTTAGACTAACAAATTTTAGAAAATGAATCTGATGGAGTATATAAAAAGCCGACTGAAATGGTGTTGTAATATAACATTTGATGTTTACTTACAGTTCGAAATAAAAGTGGCTACCAGGACTCAGTAGCTAAGTGGACAACGCGATGGTGTTTGAAGTAAACGGTACTGATTTCGAATCCCAGAGTGAACATCAACTCTGAGGTGCAGGTAAATCTAGCTGACGAGTCCCAAATGGGACGAAATGAGAGTCCTGGATTCCACTGCTAGCCACTATCCATCTTTGCTTATAATGCCTGTGAACTAAGGCAATATCGAAGCAATACGCACAGTATGTACATATGCCAATAACAGACTGATCAATCGCAGTCTTAAACATCAATGAGAAGATTTAATTGAGCAATATCAAGTGAATTAAAATATGGGATCAACTAAAATGAACTTGTCTTTAGTTTCCAAATAATTCATTAAATACTTTTGGTATCAAAAAAGGTATACACTCTCTATAGATTGTGTTTGAAAGCTTCTTAGCAATAAAACTATCAATATGCTTATTCACATCAATTTACTGTGTCCGTTCACCTATTTAGGTCGTGAGCAAAGTTGAGAGACACTCTCGAATAGAATCAAATATGACTACGCAAAATTTGAGTTAACGATGATGTCTAATAATGGTACAATTTCATATTCGAATATTTAGTAGCTTCTTACATTTAAGCTAAACTCGAGAGAACAATACCAATACAAAAAAATGCCAGATTGTAGGTTTCAAATATTACTACGCATGTGTGAGGCTGAAGTTCCATAGTCACTAATTGGGGTAAAGTTAACACTCTTTTTTTGAGTCATTAAAATATCACAGAAATTGACCATCATTCCACATTAAAATATTTAGCTAGTGAGTTAATCCTAATCAAAATAACAGTGTATTTTACTACAGAACATAAAAATCAATATTCAATTATCAATACTATACTGAAAAGATTCATTATCTTTCATTAAAAGTCATTTGAGGACAATTTAAGTTACATAGAAAATATGATTAATTAACAATACACTTACAACTTAGAATTATGAGACCAAATAAACATTTTGTACATAATTTTTGATATTTATTAATTATGAAAAATTGTATCACATCAATTATCATTGCAATTAGAATTGTTCCTATTGCAAGTATATTGAATATTTGTTGAGCTAAATCTTTAGCTGATTGATTTTTTGCTAAATATTTGAGAAAAAGAAAAAGAACCAAATAAAATGGTCATGTGTTTTTTTCTCTTGAAAAATAAGAAAATTAGATTTTATTTAATATAATTATAGGTTTTGCTTTTATTTTTCATTATTTATGAAAATGATGAAAATAGTTGTATGTGTTCAAATATTCCTATTGTTTATTTTATGGATTGACTTTTGATCTCTTTATGAACGTCACTAACGTGAAGCCATCAGACCTATCGGTCTTGTGCTCGAATCTCGTGAGGAGGGGTCGTGGATGCGCACCGCTGAGGGAGTCCCACAATAGAATGAAACACCCATCCTGTGCTTCCAAGTTTTCCATGGTGGTCTAGCTTAAATTGACATATGATTTGAACTATTAGAATCACTGTTAAGAACAGTTAATAAAATTTATCCCCTTCGCATAGGTCAATGACTATTTAGACTCAGTAGTTGAGTGGATCTTGAGAGTTTGACGCGAAGGTAATTAAATTCGAGTGATGGTGTGAATATCAACACTGGAATGCAAGTATACCTAGCTGATGAGTCCTAAATAGGACGAAATGTGCTTTCTGGATTTCAATTTCCATTTATGATTATACAGAACACTTTATGGAGAATTTTTAAGAACTGAACATAAAACTAACAGTTCTTCATACACCACAAACTGTTGTTTAATCCAATTATCAGAGTTTTACGCTGGTACTTCAAAGTTATCCAACGGTCGGATGTTCAGGTTGTTTAGACAACTGTAAGTTGTAATAATGTGTATATATTTGAAGCAAAATATGCTTTATTTATCACTTACCGACTATCTATTGATAAACGACTTGTCTTGATTGCTAATATTAATATCTAGATTTCTGTATTCTTCTCGACTTTCTGAATATTAGTTTTTAAGGATCAATTATACTAATCATCAATGTGCATATGCTAAGATTTAATTACATCAGCTGAAATAAATGGCTGGGATTATTTCCAACTATTCCATATGCATAAATGTCGCAGCTTCACACTCAGAGTGGATGGCACAATCATAGTAAGACGTTAAAAAGAAGTGTTTATTGAGAATTACCTTCTAATATGCAGTAGTCATCCATCAAATCAATATGTCACTCATATCTATTGAATGTTTAACAAAAGTTGTACAAAAAAGCTTCAGTTTGTTTTGATTAAAACCAATAAAATACAGCTTATCCAAACATTTATGTGTTCTGAATGTCAGATATTACTCAACTTATGATATGTATATACACTGAATTCTGAAATTCTTTTACAGTCTAACTTTTCAGTTTAGTATTGTAGTGTCAGCTACTTATATCCACATAAGTAGTTCTCGTTCGCTACAGTATAAGCTCTCATTTCGGCATTTAGAAAATAAATCAAAAACAAGATGAGAGATTGTTTTCTTTTCTTTTCATTTAGTTTTACATCACGAGATTACATTAATGTATATGTATTTGACAATAATAATAAAATTGTCACTAATTAAATGGTGGTAGGCTGGATAACAATACCATAAAGTCAAAAGTATTTGTGAACATAACTGTGAATGATTGATTAAGGAATAAGGAGCTAAATTAAAATAAAATAAACTTTTGTTAATCAAAATTCCACCTGTAACAGTCTATTTTAATGTAAATATGGTTTTAAAAAAAAGAAAATACGAACCGAACATTCATAGTGTTATGTAAACAAATGAATTTTTTACATAAGTTTTGACACTAATGACAGAGTACACTAAGTGAATTTATTGTTTTAGTTATAATCCACCGTACTATGATAATTTGCCTAAACATCGGAAAACATCGTTATGTAAAAAGAATTCATCGATATTTAAAATGTAGGATCTAATGACTATTGAGTAGTGACCAGTGTCACGTTTGTCTAGTCCTTTAAGCTGATCAAGTCCAATCTATCAAGTTTTAACGTAACCAACAGTTTATATGAATCAACATCGTGTGAGCTATATTGTGATGTTAGCTGGTTAAATATAGTCGCCGGGAAATCCTGGACATAGGTTACGTACTATCTGACAATTTTAAGGAAATTTTATCTGAAATCTCCTAGGAATTAAGAATTACTGTGGGATTCTAACGTACATTACCCGGTTTCACTGTCTGAGACGTTACCACTAAGCTATTTAGGTTGCAACTGGTTTTCTATAGAAATGGTATATTTACAACTGACTGATCTCTAAGCAGTGACCAATGTCATACCAGAGGTGTAAATATCAAAAGGTTAATAGATTCACGCAAAAGTAGTGTCGCATATCAAGTAGTTGTATAACCAATATGTAACGTGATCATTCATTGAAATCACATGATAAAAAATATCATACATAATTTACAATGCTAATTACATAAGTATTAGACAGTTTAAACGTTCTGTTGATATATGTAGTCATGTAGACCAGAATGGTTTTGGTATTAATTAATGCAAAAAAATACAACCTGATACATTCAAATGATCAAGTTAATACCATACTCACAAAACGAAGATATTGCATTTTTTATGAGAAGCTGTTTTTGTGAAAAAACAAGTTTCATTTCATAAATTAAACGTAGCAAGATAAACAGAGAAAACCAAAAAACTTAAAAACGTTGTTTCATCTTAGTGTTGAAATCGGGAGTAGAAAGCATTCACTATGTCAGTGGGGATCAAACCCAATATCACATTAATTGTTTACAAATTGACATTAACATTTGTTATTTTTTGAAAGTATATATGTAACAGCCTAAGGGGGACGAAAATCTTGAAAATTATGTAAGACATTTTTGTATAAATCTATTGCATTATCAGATAGAAATCTGACAACTTCTAGACTATTTTTGTTTCCGGTGAAAAAAAGTATTTCAATCAGAATACCGTATGTTAGAGATTGTATTGAATAATTAAAAATATCAATTACTTTCTTCCTTGCAGTAGTCACCAATCAATGTTGCGGCATTAAAATGGTTCCCCTTGCACCTGTTTCTGATCTGTGACGAGAACCATATTCAAAAAAATAAGTTCATAAATAAGTACATAGTTATTATTGCCATAATACAATAATAACAAGTTTATCTAAGATTCTTTCAAGTGATCTGTTAGAGTGATCATTTGTAATTATCATATAAGTGTACTCGTTATATTGCAGCATTTCAACCATCATTTTGGCGCTAATCCTGACAATATGAGAAGGTTAAGTTGAACGTTTCAAAAATATCTCTCAACATTGATCGGCTTGTAAGAAACTTAAATTTTGTAAATTAACCATTAAGTCGATGGCATTATCTCAAGTTTACCAAAGAATCTTACTGAGAATAACTCAACTCCGGCTACTTGTCATAGATTTTCAACGTAAATTTAATAACTTTTTTCAGTACGTTTCAGTCAAGCGTCAAAAAATAAAGTTTTTCTGGACGGCAGATAAATTTTAACCTCAAACTTAAACTACCTACTTTAGTCACTGCCTATATCACAGTCATCTAAGTGACGGTGATCTCACAATGGTAACTTAAGCATATCTTAAATATTTCTACTTGTCAATGAAACGATATATGTATTTAACTTGCGTATTTCATCTAATAACTAATAGAACTGACTACTTTAACATATAATAATTATGATGTGTAAACTGCTAAGGAATCTTTATGTATAACTATTACTCTGTTGATTGGTCGCTTTTAATGATGCAGACAGTGATAGCAGTTATCTTTTCTTTACATTATATCTCATTGATAGCTTAAAAACAACACAACAATAGGAGTTCGGTCAAAATTACATGAATTCATATTAGCTTATTGAGATTCTTATTAAGTGCCCACGAAATATCACATAACATTTTCAGGAAATCAGAAGGCTTTGAAAGCGCATCAACATAGTGTAGTAAATGTGTAAATAGAAATAAAGGATTATGTCAAATATTTCAAATAAATATGTTATATACAATAATTGGTTTAAAATGTGTATCAGGATCGTGGTAAACTACTACTGTAAGGCTAGAATTATGAAGTTATATAATTTAAATACAGACTAGTGTTTCAAAATGTATTTCGAATGATATCGCATCTGTATAATGCAATACGACGATGAAGGTTATCGGAACTATATGATACATTTGTGCAGTACATTTTGAATGACCTGGTCACAAGTATATACTTGTTAAGGAACTATACACGTAAAAATGAAAAATCAACTAGACAAATTAGAAGGTTAGTTGAATCAAAATAATTTACGTGTAAACGGCACTGGATAATAAATCAGAAATACTGGGATAGGTTAAAGGTAAGAGTAAACTCCTTTTGAGCACATACACGAAAATCCAGTTTTCGTATTGGCATGACTTCAATAAACCTAAGTATACCCCGTTGTTTACTTTTACATAACACTACAAAGGCTGATTTGATACCAGCCCTATAACTTGTTTCAACTAAACGTATCGCAAAAGAAGAAAATATCTGTCTTTGCTGTAATCCTATTTGACCATTGGAGTTCATTTGTTGTCGTAGCCATTTAGATATGTGTTCAGCCACCTTTACTTGCAGACCACATCTACTCCTCCCTATGTAGGTATTTCCTTACGTATATGCAAACTGATAGACGCGATCGGTGGGATGTGACACAATCATTCACGTACATTCTGGGTTTCTGAGGAAACCTAAACCTTGACTTTTCAACAGTGATGAGTTGGGCTGCATAAAATGTCTTAATATTAGTAAATTTAGGTCTTCGTTTCAACATACGACTACATGAGTCACCTCTGAATGACAGAGTGATATAGACCCAATTTTCGGGTGTCAAAGACATACTAGGTCTCGTCATATTTTCGCCTTCCTATCAGTTTATAAACTTTAAAGAATAAAGATGTTTCATCAATATTTCAGTCAAAGGCTTTACATCTCCCTCAATATTATATTTAGTGAAAATACGATTAGTTCTATTGAATAAGCCCTTTATTAACGCACGTCTGTGCTATACAGGGCAATAACTTTGAAAACGAAGATACTGTCTTGTTCATGTTGGCTTTCTATATATGGAATGTTTGGTGGAACCATCATCCTCTTCTGCCTAAGAAGAGGAGTCGAATGTTTATTATCTGAATTTATCAAGGGGATTAGTTATTTTAAATGGTATAGTAAACAAGGTTTAGACTAGTTAATCAGTCATTTGCTTTCAATTGCTTTCGGTTATTACCTTCTTATAACATTAATTTGGGCTGGAATTTTAGTATACAAACATTCGATTACATTCGATTAAATGGTTACATTTCATGCGAATGTCATTTTACTTACTGAAATTCGACTAATTAGAGGAAGGCGATGTTTTAAAGGCAAAGAAGAGAACCTAAGAAGTTTAAATTATTGAATAAGCTTTATCTAAATAAAAGTATCTTCCTAGTAAAACTAGCACCAAATATGAACTGTAAAATATCTTTACTTTAGCATTTGTTGCGACTAAGCCTTTAGACCGTTCTGAGCTTAAATGATTCAGTTATTAAGATCAGTGTTAAATAAAAATGTCACACTAAGTTTGCGGAAATAAGCTTAGCTTTTTTGATTGAAACCATGAACCGATTGACGTTAGACCACCATTGAAAACCTGGAAGCACTGGACGGCCGTCCCGTCCTATTGTGGAACTCCTCAGCTTTACTTGCATTCGTAATAAAATAATTCTCATGTTACTACATAATCTAACTTAACCCTATAAGGAACTAAAGAAGCCTCATTGTTTAATAGAACAGGTGGAAATATTTGTACTAAGATGGATCGGAACTAATAATCGTCACTTGTTTAGGACTTTAAATTTTATCCCTCATTATTCGTTCGTTAAATGACAATTAACTCATTGTCATACTGTTTTGGTTGAATACTTCGTGCCAAAATAATGATTTTAGTTTTCTGATGTGTATTCAATTATATTGTCACAAAAAAGGGAAGTTTTAAAACTGATTCATTGATAACCACTTATTCAATGGTATTATAGTCACTAAGTTCTCTAGAAATTTGAATGGAATATTCGATTTAGAAAACTCTATGGTTTATTCAAATATTCACATAAAAATACACACCAGTGTGGCCTACATACACAAACTTTTAACTGGTTTCAAAAGTTTTTTTAGTAATGTAGCTAAACATTATGCTAAACATTGTATGGCACGTGTTACTTATCTGAATGGTTTATATGTAGGGCTGCAAACATGCCGTCCATACTAGATGCATAAAAGTCTGACATTACTGAAATCGAACAAACATAGCTTATCTAATATAATACACGCTAGCTCACAAACAAATGGATTAACACTATTTCATATGACTTGTAGTGACTCACATTTATCACGAGAACACGACTGGTTTAATAAAAACAATTATTATTATAACCAACTGTACCAGTGTTTGTTTAAATGTGCTTTTGTTTGACTGTGCTAATGACAGCTATATTGTGCTTCTATTCTTATTCTTACACTTTGATTGTGACTTCGCGCGAATTCGGTTACCTTCTGTAACCAAGCTTGTATCCTGGTGCGATCTCGGTATCCTTAGGATATCACGAGATCGCCAGCAAATATGTCTCGACTTGGTCCATTAACTGTCTTCTGATATTTGGCTTCTCGGGGATTTTATGGATTTATTTGGTTACGTTCAACCTTCGCCTTCTGATATACTTGGCACGCGTTTCTCTGTAGCGGTGTTCATGGTCAATCCCGACTCGACGCCACGCTACAGACTCTCCTCCTTGATATATTTTCTTTTTGCGGATCAGAAGAAGTTGGAAAATACCCCTACGCCTAAGACTCATGCTAGTTAGTCCTTGACAGAAAGATTTACCTGTAATCTTACGGGAAGTGATCCTCCTAGGGGGAATCTAACCCCAATCAAATTTTTCACCCTGTTTCGAATCATGTAGACTAGTGACCAGAATGGAACGTGATCAATAGAATTTGAACATCACTTAGAATTAGAAAAACATGACATTTGTCTTTACTCAAAGACCAATCAATTAATATATAAATATAATATTTCTTATACTGGCAAATCAACTTACTTAAATTCATGTCAAGTTAGTAAAAAAACAGGTTATGTGTATGTAGGAAGACACAATTCTACTTTTAACACTTGAATTTGAATTTGATTAATTAGTCAATTAAATGAAATACACTTACCAAATAAATTATCATCCATGATAAGAGATGTTGCTAGAAAGTATAAAGATAAGAATAACGCTACTAATAAAATGTAATACGGTAATCTAAGAAAGTGTTCTCCATGTTTATGATGTATGTAATGATTACGATGTTGATGGCGAGTACCAGAAAGATGCTCTGATTGTAATGATGACGATTTACTCTGCATTTTCATTACATAGATAGGTATAAAACTGAAAAATTAGTTCGTTTTGAGGTATTCATCCACACCATAGTATTAAAAATTCAATAATATAGTTGTTCATCGATTTAACATTACAAGTTATCCAATCACAATTTATCAATATAGAATGTATGTGTGTAAGCATGTGTATTGCCCTATTTGTAACTGAGAAACATAAAGGTGACCAATGTAACTTAATCATTTAGATGAATTATATCACGGACACTATAATGATAACCAAACTCTATATATAAAACAAAATTAGACATTTTTACATCTCTTTTCTTGAAAAAAAAACATTCATTTCTTTCAATGGTTGTGAAATCAACTTTAAATTGACCTTTTAAATTGTTGAGCTAGATATCCAGTCTATTTTCAAAGATAAACAATAGTTAAACTGTGATTTCATCACATACCTTATATATATTTCAGGTCATTTCATCGTCTTATGTAAGTTAAATATTCTATTGAAAAATGGGAGAACGAAAACATCATATTACGCATTTGTCAAAGAACTTAATGATCGAGAATCTGAAGAAAGATGGCAAGCCGAAATCAAATTTATGAAAAACAATCAACCACTTGACGAGTATGGGAAGGGTGAAGAAGAAATTTAAAGTATGGAGGTGATAATAACGAGTAATTAAAATTGAGGAGATGGAAAACAACAGAAAGATGTATTAAAAATCAAATTGCCGTTTTCGAAAATCACTTTTTAGAGCAATGAAAGAATGGTGGCTTGCACACATTATTTTACGTACAAAATTCGGTTTTAAAAGATGAATCGCTCATATCTCTGATGTGCATAAGTAATCAAGTTGCTCTCCTCCTAAACCTGATTATTCGACTGAATAAATCATTCTATGAAATTTTTCAAGGGAAACAGTGTGACCAGAGTTCATAAGCAGTTCTAATATCGAACTGCTGATTGTTTACATTTGTCTTTCGAAATTCAAGCAGGATTATGTTCGGAGGTGCGTTTGGGAAGCACTCGCTTTCTGTGGGCGATTTCACTTACTCCATATGAGCAAGTAAACTCATCTATACACTTTGAAAAGGCAGGGGTTTATTTTTTAACATAGTTACGAATAATGGAAAGATGATGCAAAGTTTAACAGAATTGAAAGATTTACACAAATATTTCATCAGACGGTTTTCCAAAAATTCCTTCACTAGTATGACCCTTGAACCCAATGCTCATGAAGAAATTCTTGAGAACTATAGGAAGTCTAGCAGATTGCAATTTCGATCTCATGTTTCCCTCAAAAATAACTTGAATAGATAGCCGTTTTTGATGAATATTTGTTAGAGCTTGAATAGTCTCTCCCCTAGTATGTCTTCGCAGCACATTCACTTAGCCCTTGATAATAAAGATTTAATTAGGTTTTGCTTTCTGTTTAATTATACTAAGCTGTGATAATTCATGTATTGTCCATTCGAAGTTGGTCTTAGATATACTGTTCTTTGCAGTTTACTGTCTATCCTTTCATTAAATAAGATGTGGGGGAAATGAAATTCAGAACTGAAATCTGATTTTAATGTAAATTTAATTGATTGGTGAGAAGAATTGAACTTATCTTTTATGGTATTGAGGTGGGTGTTTTCATCATAAGTAATAAGACGTAATCTATATCTCTCTTATAATTGTGAGCTGTCAGTCATTGACTGAAGTACTGTATTCTTAAGACGTGATGAAACAGTCTTCTAAGAAGGGACGAGTGGTTAACCTATGTTTACGCCGTTAGTTTGCCTGTAAAACTCAATACTGAATCTGAACTAAATTTTGGAGGTAAGAGTATCCCTCTTAGTGTTTTAAAACACCAATGACAAGTCTCTTTTCAACATAATCACATGCGAAATAAGTGGTCTCTCTTAAAGGAACATCTGGGAAAGTGAAGCGAAATCTAATTATATCGTTTTCATCCTGGTTACATTGAGATCAACAACTGAATGGACAATGTGATATGAGTCTAGTGCTCTATTTTTTAGTGCTGGATATGCCTTGCCTTTAAAGATTTACAACTGTGTGCCAAACAATTAATGAAACAGTAAAGGCCAACAGAGGCCGACTTTGGAAGTAGGTGGGGTCTGTGTCAGATCTTGGAGAGACTATAAACTACCAAAACTGCGCTGCTTGTTTTCAAATAAGTACAATTTCCATATCTACTTCTCCATATGTAGCAGCGATGGCTGTGCAGTTTATTAGCTGTCTACAAAACTGTAGGGCCAGTGAAATATCTCTGAGCCCTAGCCATAGCATCCGGCAGTAAGGTCAGTGAATATTGAACAGGTCATCGATCCTTGTCAAGGTCAGGGACAACCAGTGCGCATCATTTAATCGTACGCCGTGGACGGGCCCTTGTGGTGGTGGTCGCACATTCGCTTATACTTATTCTTACCAATATATTTCCGTAATAACGTCCTTTGTATCGTTCGGTCTTCAAAACGGCCATAGTATTTTGATACTTCGAAAAGCTAACACACGTTAGATGCTGACCATGAGTTGTGAGTCCGAAGTTGGCTGTTGGTCACACCATTCCCGTCTAACTTTAGTAGACCCCAATCATTTTGATGTAGATAATCTATGTTGGTGATCTACAAAACCATGCATTCCTTACTGAAGTTGATGGAGTGCATGTCTGTTGTATCACAAAGAGCCATACGTGACCCACATCCAGGACAAATACATTAACTCTTAAAATGTGTAGTAGATCTGGATGCCTGTCGTTATGCCAGCAGTGCCTCTCGAAACAAAAGATGTTGTTACCAAAACCTATTGCAATAGTGTATGTAGCTGATAGGCACGTTGTCATGTATGACTGTCCTGGCCCTCATCATGATATGGTGATGCCTATTTTATGTGGAAGGCAGTTCCCAGAAAAGCGGATAACAGAGTGGGCTTCTTCTGTGCTCCTAAATCAAAGTCACATGTTTCATATGTGTTTTCGGTGGCACATCACGAGGGAACAAGAAGCAAAGCAGACAACGCTCATGAAAATTGAAGTTGAGCCTTCTATGATGGAATAACTAAGGCGTGAATACTTGTACTTATTTTCTTTTATTAAGTCAATTCTTTGTCAAGAGCATTTTAATAAGCTCAATAAAACAAGCCCTAGTATGGAGTTTGTAGGACAATGAACGTATAGATGGAGGTAATTTAAAAAGGAGCAGAAAGTTTAGGATTACGTGTACTTTTTAAATCTAGCACGGAATACAGTATTTGAACACACAAATAACTCTCCCTCTTCTTTTGTCAGGACTATTTCAGTTCATTCTTATTATTATAGCTTTGTGGAGTCATCAGAGAACTCCGTGTTGGTGTAACTACCCAGGTTTGTTTGTGATAGGACTCCTCGGTAGGAAGTGAAACCTATTCAAGGCTACAGAAACGAGATAAAGAGGTATTTGGCATAAGAAACTACATTTAATATCATTGCTTAGTTGTATCCCGCTAGACCATAATTTAATAAAATGTCCTTCCCTTCAAACATGAGTAGATTGAAGTTATCTCACCGATCACCTGATCTGCTGGTCAGTGTCGTTGCCCTTACTCCTTTTGTGATGTCAGGCTTTTTTATGTTTGTAGTGTGTGTGAATGCTGCTCCAGCCTACAATCCATGTTGCACACGTTTTGGGAATGAACTGACTCTAATAATTCAACGTTTCAAGCAAATGAAAATGGCTAAAGTTTTGTAGTGTTATTTAGATTTCCATTTAGTAAACCACACTGCTATGAAGCCAACTAATGGATTAAGTTACAATATCGTGGTCAGATGGCATGTGGATTGGAGAAGATAAGGATATACGGCAGATAAAAGTATATGAACGAAGAGTTTGGTGTTGCAAAATTTCATTAAAGTTCACAATGTTGTTGTGCCCATTCTTTTCAAAAGAGACAATAATCTAGTAAACCAAGTACAAACATGAGTGGTCAATCTAAAACATAAATTTTACGAGGACAAACTCCAACATCTGAGATTATTCCAATTGAGCTACAGGAGAAAAAGAGGCGATCTGATAGTGCCTAACACATATGGATCACCATCTCTCTCTTGTACCAGCACTATCTGATACAAGTTTGATAACTTAACATGCATATCGCTACCTCATATCAGTAACTGATATCCATGTCCCTTATTATCACTATTTTCTTTATTATTTTACAATTCCGTCCTCCTACATATTAAAAATTAAGTAAATCATTTATTTATTCTTGAGACAATCTCCTTCTCTCAACACTCAAATTATCATTTTACTAATTTACTGTGGTGTTTGAACGAAATAGTGATACCTTTGTACATTTTGAATGGTTGATTTCGAATTCCAAATACAATACATCCGTTTGTGCTTGTGTCTTACTTCTTAATTCAATTGCGTTATTTCTGGGACTCTTAGTTCGTGCTATAATTCAATTAATTCAAAACATTATATTGGCGTCGCGATGGAGCCTGCAATGGAAAAGTTACATATTCATTCTACTCCTGAAGCTTTTGAGGATTACTTGGAAAGGTTTGAAATCTGGAGCATGACCAAGAAAGATGTTAAAGGTGATAAAATTGTGGCACATTTTCTGACATTCATTGGGAGAGAAGCGTACAGCTTATTAAAAACTTTGGCATATCCAGAAAAACCTATCTCACTCCCCTATGCAACTCTTAAACAGCTATTATTAAGTCATGTAAATTGCATCAGTTTTGAATGCCGTGAAAGTGCGAAGTTTCATAAGATGGTTCGTCAAAATGACCAAAAGGCTCGGGAATTCATCCTTGAATTACAGAAACAAGCTGCCAAGTGTAATTTCGGTTATCAACTTCATGTACAACTGAGAGATCGATTAATTGCAGGAATTAACATACCGAGTTTGGAAAGAGAGCTGTTAAGAATGCCAAACTGTTCCTTTCAAGATGCTAGAACTGCATGTATTAACTACGAAGCAGTCAATGAACTTGATATCCAGTCGATGAAGATTTCTAATACTTTGCTTAGTCGTC